GGGAATGCTGGGAATCTTCTCCAGGTTCACCACGGGCACAAACAAGCTGTGGAGAGAATTTTGGGGAGGAGGGGATGGGATCAAAGTGACCCCACCGGAGCATCGGCGCCGCCCGTCCCGGCGCTCACCAGAGGTTGTTGTCCTTGTCCGTGTGCTCGGGAAGGGGCTGGGCTCTCCCGCGGGCACCGGGATGCTTCTCCTGCAGGGCTTTGGCCGCTCCGGGGGTCCTGCCAGGCACCGGCTGCCCATTCACGGCGACGTGGCACGCGGTGGCACGGGCATAGAGCTTGCTGAGCGGGCCGTGCCGCCGTTCTGCCGGGATGGGATGGGATGGGATGGGATGGGATGGGATGGGATGGGATGGGATGGGCCCACTGTTAGCCCACACCAGAGCTCGCACTGCACCCTCCCTGCCCGCAGGCTGTTCCCCCACAGCCAGCCCCGGTGGCATTCCCGGTGCGGTTCCCAGCACCACGAGCTGGAATAGCCATTCCCGGAATTCCCTGGCTCACCACAGTGCTTCTGGAAGGCCTGGGGTTTCACCACCTGGCTGCAGTGGTTGCAGACCACCAGGTAGAACTCGTCGTGTGCAGGGCAGTGCCCGAAGATGTCCATGTCTGTGGGGAGAGCTCTGTAAGCTGGCACAGACCTGGTGCTGCTGGAATCACTGCAGACAACAATCCCAGCTCCATGGCTCACACAGCCCCAACGTGCTGGGTTTCACCCCAGAGAGGAGCTCACCTTCCTTAATCAGGGTCATGGTGTCCAGTTTCTTGCTGCCACTCTTCCCATTTTCCTCCAGCTCTGACCCTGATCCTGCCAGAGACAAAATCCTGTCAGTGGCTGGCACAGGGATGGTCCCAGTGCTCCCACACGGGGATGGTCCCGGCATTCCTGCTCCTGGAACAATTAAACCAGACAAAATTAGATCAGAGAGACAGATCCATCCTGTGAGTGGCGTTGCCCTGTGCTGTGTCACCATCTCCAGGGTTCCCATCCTGACAGCCCAGTGCCAGCAGGAGGGATGTTCCTGATGACATCTCAGTGTGGGATGTGAATCCTGGGAAGACCCTGTCCTGGGATGTGACACCCCTGGGACATATTTGCCCTGGGATGGCACATCCCTGAGAACACCATGGTGCTAGGATGGGACACCCCTGGGGACAGCCCTATCCTGGATGGGATGTAACATCCCTAAGGACACCCCAGTCCTGGCATGTGACACCCCTGGGAACATCCTGGTCCCAGGATGTGACACCCTTGGGTCACCCTGGTTCCCATACAGTTGTGGCTCTCCAGGCTGTGCCTGGCTGGTGTCCTGGGCTCTGTTCTGGGGAGACTGGTGGCCGCTAAGCCAGTGGCAATGGTGACCTGGCCAACTGTGCCAAACTGCATGCCCAGTCCATCCCCAATCCTTTCAGGCCATGCCATACTGGGCACCCAGTTCCATCCAGCTGTGCCATAATGGTAACCAGTCCTGCCTGCCTGGCCATACTGGGTGTCCAGTGCCATCTACCTGTGCCATACTGGGCACCCAGACCCATTCAGATGTACCATGACTGGAGCCCAGTCTGGGGCAGCCAGTCCCAGTGCTGAGAGCCCACAGGGACAATGCCAAGCTCCCAGTAAGGGGTACTTGGCTCCCAGTGTGCCCTGCCCAGATCCCAGTGCAGGATATCCCAGTGCTTAGCACGTGATGCCCAGTCTCCCACCTGGAGCTCCCAGTATCTCCTGCCTGCTCTGGGGTAATGGTGGCAACTAATTCCCAGTCCAGGCTCTCCAATTACTGCTCTGTTCTCACCAGTGTCCACTGCACCTGGGATATCTGGAATCCAGGATGGGGCACCCAAAACTGGTTCCCTGTAACAGGTGCAGGGTTCAGACTGGGGTGCCTGGTGCCAGATCAGTGCCCAGTGCTGGGTGCCCAGTTCCTAGTGCAGAGATCCTGCTGCCCAGTTCCTGAATCCCAGTGCTCAGTGTGGCTGCCTAGTGCCCAGTTCCCACTGCAAGCACAGGGTGTCCAGCTCCTGGTGCCCAGTATAAGATTCCTAGTGTTTGGTTCCTGGTATTGGGCAACTTTTGTAGGATGCCCCATTCCCAGAGCTGGGTGTCCAGTACACAATGCCCTGTTCCCAGTGCCAAATCCCCAGTGCTGAGTGCCCAGTTCCTGGTACTGGGTGCCATGTCTGCCTGCGCAGTGCCAGGCTCCCAGTCCCAATTCCTGGTGCCAGATGCCCAGTGCTGGATGCCACATTCCCAGTGCAGGAAGTGCCCATTCCCAGTTCCCAGTGCTGGGTGCCTAGTTCTCAATACTGGGTGCCAGGTCTGGATGCCCAGTGTAAAGTTTCCAGTGTCCTGCTGCCATTGCAGGATGTCCTATTCCCATTGTCTGGTGCCCAGGGCTGGGTGCTCCACTCCTGTTTCCGCATATTCTGGTGCAGGATGCCACATTCCCAGTGTGTGTTCACCAGTGCTGGGTGCCAGTCTGGTGCCCAGTGCCAGATTCCAGGTGCCCAGTATAAGGTGCCCCTTTCCCAATGTGTGGTTCCCAGTGTAAGTGCCCTATTCCCAATGTCTGGTTTCCAGTGCAGGATGCCCCATTCCCAGTACCAGGTTCCCAGTGCAGGGTGCCCCATTCCCAGTACCAGGCTCCCAGTGCAAGGTGCTCCTTTCCCAATGTCTGGTTCCCAGTGCAGGGTTCTGCTTTCGCAGTACCAGTATCCCAGTGCAGGGTTCTCCTTTCCCAGTACCAGGTTCCCAGTGCAGGGTTCTCCTTTCCCAGTACCAGGTTCCCAGTGCAGGGTTCTCCTTTCCCAGTACCAGGTTCCCAGTGCAGGGTGCCCCTTTCCCAGTACCAGGTTCCCAGTGCAAGGTGCTCCTTTCCCAATGTCCGGTTCCCAGTGTAAGTGCCTTATTCCCAATGTCTGGTTTCCAGTGCAGGGTGCCCCATTCCCAGTACCAGGATCCCAGTGCAGGGTTCTCCTTTCCCAGTACCAGGATCCCAGTGCAGGGGTCCCCATTCCCAGTAGCAAGATACCAGTGCAGGGTTCCCCATCCCCAGTTCCAGGTTCCAGTGCAAGGTGCCCCTTTCCCAATGTCTGGTTCCCAGTGCAGGGTGCCCCATTCCCAGTACCAGGATCCCAGTGCAGGGTTCCCCATTCCCAGTACCAGGTTCCCAGTGTAAGGCGCTCCTTTCCCAATGTCTGGTTCCCGGTGCAGCGTGCCAGGTCTGGCTGCCCTGTTCCCAGTGCCAGGTGCTAGTACAGGATGCTTCATTCCAGGTGTCCAGTTCCCAGTGCCAGGGAACATCCTAGGACATGCCAGGACAACCTGCTCCAGGCACCCGGCACCACAATCTGGGCACTGGGAACCCTGCGCTGGGCATCAGACCGGCACCCTCTGCTGTGCGCCCAGGTCCTGGCACCGGGTGCTGGGTCTCGGTGCCCAGTGCAGGGTTCCCAGTGCCCTGTTTCCCACTGCCCAGCGCAGGATGCCCCGTTGCCGGTGCCCCGTTCCCAGAGCAGAACGAGCCGCTCCTGCTGCCCGGTGCAGAACCTGCTCTCGGTTCCCAGCGCCCGGCGGAGGATGCTCCGTTCCCGGTCCCCAGTGCAGGATGCCCCGTTCCCAGCGCCCGGTGCAGGATGCCCTGCTCGCGGTTCCCGGTGCCGGACTCCCCTCTGCCGGTGCCGCTGCCCGCCCGCCGCGCGGCGGCGCTCGGACCGGGGGTCGGCGGGCGCGGCCCCGGTCGCGAAGCCCCCCCCGCCGCCGCCGCCCTCACCGGTGTCGGCGGGCGGCCCGGCCCGCTCCACCCAGGCGCTCCAGCTCTGCCCCGCGAACTCGTCCAGGCCGGGCACCGGCCGCCGCTCCGCCGCCATCGCCGCCGCCGCCGCCGCGGCACCGCCGCCCCCCCGCGCCGCCCCCGCCCCGCGCATGCGCCGCGCGCCCCGCCCGCCCCGCGGCACTATGGGCATTGTAGTCCCGGCGCGACCCCCGCCCGGCCCGACCCCGGAGACCTCGCACCGGCACGGGGCACCCGGGATCCCGACACCGGCATGGCACACCCGGGATCCCCATACCGGGATGGGACACTCGGGATTTCGCACTGGCCTGGGGGGTCCCAAGTGATCCCTGTACCAGGCTGGGGTCTCCTGTTATCCCTATACGGGGATGGGGGAACCCGGTATCTCTATAACAGGTTAAGGGCACTCGGTATCCCTATACTCGGTTGGGGTTCTCTGTTATCCCCATACAGCACCCAGAACCCCAGTTATTCCCATAACAGGCTGGGGTCTGGCACAGTTATTTCTATACTGGGCTGTGAGCCCAGGGTATTGCCATACAAGGCTGAGGTTCCAGGTTATTTTTGTACGGGGCTGGGGATCCCCGTTATGCCTATACCAGCTTAGGATCCCCCCTTATCCTTCTATTGGCCTGAGGTTCCCTATTATCCCTATATGGAGCTGGGACTCCCTGCCATATCAGGTTGGGGTCCCAGGTGATCCCTTATACTGGAGTGGTGCTCCCAATATTATCCCAATACCGGACTGGGGTTCCTGATTATCCTCTTACTAACCTGGGGTCTCCTGTTACCTGTCTGGGACCCTCCATTAGCCCAATACTGATCTGAGGTCCACAGTTAACCCTATACCAGAGATAGGGACCGGTTTATCCCTATATGGACCAGGATGCCCAGGGGCGTGCGTGCCTCACCCAGGGCTGTGCGCACCTCCGCAGACACCAGGAGCCCCAATCCAGAGCTGGTACCCAGGACTTTATGCGCCCCATACAGACATAGACCCCCCGGGGTGACACAAAGAACCCCCGAGAGGAAGCGCGACCCCCGGGGTTCCGTGTCCCCCTTCAGCATCCGAACCCCCGGCGGCTCCAAGCGCGGGGACAGCCACACCCCGTCCCCGGGCTGGCGGCCGGCGCGAGGTCCCGGGGGCCGGGCGGGATCCCCGGGCTGGGTCGGCCCCCGGGGGTTCCAGTAACCCCGGCGGTTACTGCTTGTCGATGGCGCCTTGCTCGGCCGCGCTGTCGCGGGGCTCGGGCGGCCGCAGCAACGGCGTCTCCCGCAGCACGAACCAGCAGTTCCCGGCCCACAGCAGGAAGTTGAGAAACCCGAAGAGCTGCAGGAGAGGAAAGGGGAGAGGGGAGAGGACAGAGAAGAAGAGAGAGGGTCCTACAGGGCACCCTTGGGGGAGCATAGCACCGGCACCCCACACACCCTGTGCACCCCATGAGCTCCAAGCACCCCGTTCATTCCCTACATCCCATGTACCCTGTACATCGTGTGTGCCCTATGCACTCTATACATCCCATACACCCCATACATTCCCTACACCCCACGTACCCTGTACAATCATGTGCGTCCTATGCATCCCATGCACCCCATACATTCCCTACACCCCATGTACTCTGTACATTGCGTGTGCCCTATGCCCATACACCACATACACGCCATAATTCCCGTACATCCCATGCACCCCACTGCGCTCCAGGCACCCCATGGACCCCATCTTACCCATGTGTAACCCATGTCCTGTGCCCCCACGTACCCCATACTCCCTATACGCCCCATGTGTTCCATGCACCCCAGGCACCTTATACATCCCATGTGCCCCACATGTGCCATGCAATCTGTGCACCCTATGGACCCTGTATGCCCCATGTGCCTCATGCACCTCCTGTACACCGTGCAACCCACATGCCAGATGCACCTCATGCACCTCACTTCACCCCATGCACCCCATGAGCCCCATATGATTCATGCACTCCGCATGCCCTATGTACTCATGCACCCCACACATCCCAAGCACCAATGCCAGGGGCTGCATCACCACCACCCACCCCATCCTGAGAGTTCCTGATGGCTGGGGGGTGCAGGGTGGATCCCACATCCCCTGGGACCAAGACAGGTGGCTGTGGAATGTTTTCACCCACATTTCTGTGAGTGTGCCCGTATTTTCATCTGTGTGGCCACATTCCCACTGCCCTCTCCTGGCTGAGCTCAGGAATCTGGCACGTGTATGCACACACAAGGACAGGGGTGTGTGAGTGTACACCTGCGTGCATCTGTACGTGTGCATTCCTGGTGTGCTCACACATCCACGTGTGCTGTCCTGTGAACACGTGTGTGCACTGCTGTGCCTTCACAGCCACAGCTTTGCAGCCTGTGGGCTGCATGTGTGTGCACATGTGCTGCTCAGCTCTGCTTGAAACCCCTAAACTGTGCTCCCAATCAAAAAATGACACGTATTTGGCCATGTGTGCCCATGTGTGTGCCCATGTGGCCCTCACCACTGAGATGTTGGCCAGCCCCATGGCCGGCGTGGTGCCGGCGTCGCAGGTCACGCCTTCGCCCTGGCAGGCCCCCATGGCAGCGATGAGGGTGGAGGGGCGTGTGGCTGCCTTCACATCGCTCAGCCCCTTGCCCCATGCTGCCGCTGCCACCAGCCAGAAGAAGGCAAAGCAGACGGTGACGCAGAAATCCTGCCAGGACGAGAGCCCGGGATCAGCTGCCATCCTGGCATGGCACTGGATTCACGTGTCCCGAGGGATGAGCCTGCCTTACTGTGAAGGGGAGTTTTGTGTTTTCGGTGTACAGGGAATGGAAGCGGAGGTAGAGCACCAGAGCCGCCATGGAGTAGAGGAAGGAGAAGACCCCCAGGGTCACGAAAAACTCGGCAGGAGCGGAGAAATCACCAACGAGGTACAGGGTGTGGAGTTCTTCACCATTACAATTCGGCATCGAGAAGGAAATCTGGTATAACCTGGGATAGAGGGAGGGGGTGTCAGGGGGCTGCGAATGGAGAGGATGGTGGGGGTAGGTGGTATAACCAGGCTGGGGTGGTCCCCTGGGATGGAGGGCACAGATCCACTGCCATAACCTGGATTCTTTTCCAGGGTCTAGTGCCTTGGCATGGGGCCGATGGCAGAGGAAAGGGGCTAGAACTGTGACTCTCATCTGGCCCAACTGCATCATTGCCTTCCCAAATAAATCAGGATTCCCATGGTCTTCCCTGAGTACTGAAAATTCCCCTCCTTCCCCAGCCAGGTCTTCCACGATTAACAAGAATGCTCCTGGATGGTGTCAGGAACTGAAGCCAGGGGATGTCCCATGGCGTCAGGGTATGGATGGTCCCCACAGAGACCATGGCTGTGGTCCTATGGAGGCCCTGCCAGCAGGAAGGGAGTCTAACCCCAACCCAGCACCCGCCAGTTTGTGAGGGATCAGCACCCCCTCACCTGAAGGGGTACCCGAACTGGATGTTGATGGCTGTCAATCCTTTGCCGTCACATTTCACTGTGGCTCCGGTCTCACCGCTGAAGGAGCCGCAGGAGCCGAAGGCGAAGATGGCAAAGAGCTACAGGAGAGGGCAATGGGTCTGGGGGGGTTGAGTCCCTGGGGGAACCCCTTTCATCCTTGGGGGTTGGGTTGTATCCCCTGGCACTGAGTAATGGGCAAGCTGCCACCCCCCAGCTGTTGGCCTCAGGTACCTCCCTCCAACGCTGGGATTCTACTGGCACTGGGATGTGAGGATGGGGGCATATCTAGGGGGGTGAGGACACCAAGGCCAAACCCACCCCAACCCCCCCTTAATTTTGGGCAGGGTACTGAATGCCAGAGTGGGTTTCCAGACAGCTGGGAGCATCCCCATGGTAGGAGCCTCGGAGTTGTCCCCTCCCCAGGAGCCACCACTACCCTCCCTTGCTGTCAGAGTCACACTGCCTCCATCTCTTGGGTGAGGGTTCCGGGAAAACACCATTCTCACAGTGTTTTCCCACAACTCCTTCTGGCTCAGCTCCCAGCTTCCCGGGTGAAATGGGAAATCTAAGCTGCCAGGCCTGACACTGCAGGGATGGGCAGCCTCATGTGTGGCACTCAAGGTTTAATCAGGATTGTTGGTGGATCCTCCAGGGATTTTCTCCTCGTTTTTGTTTTTGGGCTGTCTTTGCATGTGGGTCTGATCCTATATGGTGGCCTCAATGGCAAAGCCTCCATGGGTGGTATTATGCAAACCCAAGAGTTGTAGGACTGGGGGAAAGCCCCTCAATCTGGCTCCTCCTGGTGGGAGATGCCCGAGGCTGAGTCCTCCTCGTACCTCAGTTTCCCCCGGGAGCCCCCCAGCCCTGGCAAGGCTGAGCTGCAGAAATGCCACCCTGAAATCCAATATCACAGGGAGCCATTCATGGCATGGCCAGGACAGGACAGAGCTGCAGGCGCTTGGTTGCCCCCCTGTCCCCAGGGTCCCCCTTCCTGGGGCTCACTGACCCTCAATCACTCTCCCCACCCACCCACCTAGTGCCCCCTGAGCCTGTGGGAATGGCGGGGACCCGACACCCCGATGTCACTGTCCCCTTTGGCATGGCTGGGCAGAGCCACCTGCTCAAGGTCACCGAGGAGGGCCGGGAGGGGCTCGTGGCCTGAACCCCGGCGTCCATGTGGCCCTGCTCCCCTCCTTCCCCAGATCCCCAAAATAAGGTCTCCACTCCAGCTGCTGATGGGGTGCAGGAAGCTCTGGCGGGGCGGGGGGGGGCTCTGGGATTCCTTCGTTCTGGGGGGGGCTTCAGGAAAGCAATGGAACACCCCAAATTTGGGGGGACCAGGTCCTTGGGGAGCAGCACCCAGCAGTGTGGGGGAAGGGGCTGAGACGGGGGTCCGGGATCAGGCCCGGGATAGGGGGACACACCGGGGGTCACTCACCCATTCCAGCACCTTGATGAAGCCCAGGGGCTCTTGGAGGCGTCCCCAGCGCAGCCCACGAAGGACACGGTCCTGCAAGAGAGAGTGACAGGAGCCAGGGAGCACCGGGACTGCGCCGGGACTTGCCCCGGCTCTGGAGAACCAGGGGGGCTGCACCGGGGGAGCGAGGGACTGCACCGTGGGCTACTCCGAGTGGCCACAACGGGATTGCTCTGGCCACGGGACTGCAACGAGGGATCAGGGGGCTGCAAAGTGTCCTGCTCCGGCCTGGGGGTTACCTCGGTGGAGAGGGGTCTACTCCGGGAAACCGAGGGGACTACCCTGGGGAACCGGAGGGGCCGCACCGGGGGACCGGGGGGCTGCCCCGGGGAAACGGGGGGGCTGCAACGGGATTGCCCTGGGCAGGGGGCTGCCATGGGGGACCTGGGAACAGCACCCGGCACCGTCCTCGGCACGAGAACAGCGGAGGGCTGCACCGCCACACTAGGAGGCTGCACCGGAGGTCGCACCGGGCGGCTGCACCGGGACACTGTGGGCTTCTCCGGAGGTTAGCACTGGAACACGATGGGCTCCTCCATCGGGGGATCGGCACCGGGACACCGGGGGCACACCGAGGGTCTCCTCGGGCAACAGTGCCGGGATACCAAGGGGCTGCACCGGGACCGAGCCGCGGTCACCGGGAGGGGGGACGCACCGGAGCCCTACCTGGAGCCGGGGCGCTTTATCACCGGCCGCGGGGGCGCCGGGCTCCGACATGGCCGGGCCGGGGGCGGTCGGTGCTGCCTCCGCCGCCCGCTGGGACGGCTCCGCTGGCGGAGCCGCCACCAAGCACCCCACGGCCCCCGGGACAGACAGCACCGCCCCGCCCCCGGCAGCGCCCCTGGGCCGGCCCCGGGCCCCCCGGGACAGCCCCTCGCTCCGGTCCGCCCCCAGGCCCTCCGGCCAGCGCGGGATGCGCAGCGCCTCCCTGGGGGGGTCCGTCCGTCCATCGGCTCCGCCGATCCCCCGTGAGCCGGGAGCGCTGGAGCGAGGAGTGAAGCCCGCCGGGGGCTGCTAATGGGGCCGGCAAGGAGGCTGACGGCGTCGCACCGTGTGCTGGGCGTTGGGGAGATCCCAGGGGCAAACACCCCTCCCGGTATCTCCTCCCGGTATTCCCTTCCCTGCATCCCGTCCAGGAGCCCCTTCCCGACACCGCCTCCCGTAGCTCCTTCCCGGTGCCCCCTTCTCGGTATCGCATCCCTGGTATCGCCTCCCCGACCTCCCTTCCCGGTACCCGTTTCCCGGTACCCCCTTCCCGAGTCCCCATTCCTGGGAACCCCTCCCGGCACCGCGCCGTGCCCGCTCGCAGGCCCCCCCCCGGTACTCTGCCCCCGCCCATCGACGACCACGCCCCCTTGGAGCCCCGCCCCATCACGGCTGTGCCCCGCCCCCGCTGC